GGGTCCCTTCCCACCCAAACCCTCCTGGGATTCTCCAAACTCACTTGTAGAAGTTGTACAGGCTCATGGGCAGGGTCACAGTGAGGGCACAGACTGGAAGAGAAAAGTGCCACGTTAGTGCCCCAGGGCACAGGGGACACCCCATGCACCCCCAGTCAGGAGGCTCAGGCTGGGCTCTAATTTAAGTTCCCTGCAGCAAAAATAGCTCCGAGGGTGCCCCAGGAATAGCTCAGCACATTTGGAAGTCGCTGCTCCCAAGTCTGGCCCAAGAGCTGTAATTAAAAGTTAAAGTCTGCTGTAAATTGAAGACATTTCCATTTGAAAGGGCTGCATTAAGGAGCTCGGGTTTGTGCTTTGAACAGTGACAAAGCTTAATTATAATACAACTCTAATGAGACATGAGTGCACACTCCTCAAATGACGTGGCTGGGGACAAAAATTTTCACAACAACGGTAATTTGCTCTTTCTCTGGTTGTGTGCAAACATTTCCAGTGACCACACTGCCAAAAAGTTGACATTTAACTGGATAAATGATACAAAGCACCCAAATAACTGCAAAATCCTGACCTCAATCAGAACCATCAACACCACCCATGATGTTCCAGCACAACTCCTTCCCTGTTTATCCAGCAGAAGGTGTGTGAACAGAGCTGGAAATATTCCTGCTTTAATAACCCAGCTCCTCTCCCCCGTGTGGGAATTGGGCTCAGTTTCTCATATAGGAAAAGCACATTCATTATTCATGTGAAATCACACAGCTGTCAAAGGAAAGTTGGCAACATCCAGCAGATACAAGTGCAAGAAGTACTTTTAACACACCAATTAACTCAAAATTAAGCAATTACAAAGAACACCTGAAGGGACACAGAAAATAAACTGAGCAGAACTTGTGAATTAATGGCATTGAACAACATCAGCTCAGCTGTACCCTTTGCAGTTAGTTTGACTGACCACAGGAGAGCAAGGCTGGGCCTTTATTTCAATTTGATGATGATGATGATGATGATGATGATGATGATGTAATGTTCAGGTGGGTGGATGGAGGGCAGGATCCTCAAACAGCAGAGCTCCCACCCACCTCTGTGGCTGCAACCTCCCTCCCACACAGTGTTTGGGCTCTGGGGTGAGAGGGAGCCTCAGAGCAGCAAAACAAAAGTGTCCTGACCCCCCCCCAAAATCAGCCCAAGGCTTTGGGAGGCTTCACTGAGAGCCAGGTCCCACCACCCCCTGCACACTGGGCTTTATCCCCTGGAAAATCTGGGTTTATCAAACTGGTTTTATCCCCAGGCTCTCACTGAAGACAAACTAAGCTTCTCTGGAGTGAAGTCAGTGCAGTTCTCCAAAATAACTCTGCAGGAGACAAGGCTGTTTTGAAATGCTGGGAAAGGGCAGGCTGTGAGAACACCCTCAATTAGTCACTTCAACAACAGCCCGGGGCAGCAAACAGAACAGTGTTAGCAGCTCATTAGCAGGGGGTTTGGGAAAAAGGTGCAGTTTAAAAGACAGGCTTCAACATGGAGTTTCTTACCAATAATCATTGCAGTGAATAGGTCTCTATATAAGAAATTAAACAGGAAAGGTGCATACCAGGCCTCAACTCCCACAAAGGCTGTCACTATGTAGACAATTGAAATGGTCTGAAAGAAAGCACAGGACAAGCAGGGGTGAGAAATGTGACGGGCAAGGCTGGCAGCACCTGGTTGGCAGCACCGTGTGTGTGTGCCAGGCAGCTCCAGGGAAAGGCAGATCTAAGCTATGACATGTTCAGTCCTACCCACCAGCAGGAAAGGAGAAAAATAAATCCACAAATATCCCACGTTACCAGGTGTAGGAAGTCTGAGGGTGGGAGGTGCCTGTTCCCTGTGCTGGCACTGCTGGGGCACCTCCAGTGCTGGGGGCAGCTCTGGGCCCCTCCTGACAGGAGAGCCCTGGAGGGGCTGGAGGTGTCCAGGGAAGGGAACGGAGCTGGGCAGGGGCTGGAGCCCCAGGAGAGGCTGAGGGAGCTGGGAAAGGGGCTCAGCCTGGAGAAAAGGAGGCTCAGGGGGGACCTTGTGGCTCTGCACAACTCCCTGACAGCAGGGGACAGCCAGGGGGGGAACAGGGACAGGACAAGGGCAAATGGCCTCAGGCTGGGCCAGGGCAGGCTCAGCTTGGACAGCAGCAGCAATTTCTCCATGGAAAGGGTGCTCAGGCCTTGGCAGGGGCTGCCCACGGAGGTGGTGGAGTCCCATCCTTGGAGGAAAATAAAAACCACGTGGATGTGGCACTTGGGGACATGTGGCAGTGGTGGCCTTGGCAGTGCTGAGGACATGGCTGGACTCGATGGGCTCAGAGGGTTTTTGCAACCTCAGTGATTCCATGAGAATCCATGAAATTCCATGAGATACAACCAGGAGCTGTCCTGGCTCAGCCCTGAACTCTCGAGGTGACCAAAGCACAGTTTTACACAAGCTGCAGTGACCCTGGAGGGGTCACTCAGGGACTCTTCCTTATCCCTCTGCTGCTGGATTACAGGGAGAAGCTCACCAGGGCTATTTCAGCTTTAATAGTCCCCTGAAGCTGGGTGCAACACGCTGCTCTGCCCTCCACCCCTGCCTTTCTCCAGCAGGCAGCTCAAAGACCTGGGTTAAGCAACATTTTGGGAGAAAGGATCAGAGTACAGTCAGGGACCAGCTCTGGTCTCCTTTTAGTAGGAGAGATGATTATTCCAATTAATGCAGCTGCATTAATTGAACTCTCCTTCCAACTCGTTGCATTTCCCACCCAGCATCTGACAAGGCAGAAGATAAATAAATGGACTTAAGATAATGAGTTATAAGGAAGAAGCTTTTTTACAATGAGGGTGGTTGCCCAGAGAAGCTGTGGCTCCCCCATCCCTGGAAGTGTCCAAGGCCAGGCTGGACAAAGCTTGGAGCACCCTGGGCTGGAGGAAGGCACTGCCAGCAAATCCAGGTGAGCTGCCTCATCTCTCTGCTGAATTTTTGACCCAGATCCTGGTTGTGCCAAATTCATCCCAAACTTCCAGGCTTCACTTTACCCACACTGGTACCATGTAGGGAACTACTTAAAGCAACAATTCAGGTGGGTAGGAAGCAGGGAGAGGAGAACCAAGGCACTGCCCATCCTTCAAACTTTGTTTGTCATGGACAGTCCATGTCCATGGAGTTGATGCCTTGAGGAGCTGGAGCAGAGGCTGCACACAGAGTTCAGGGGAATAAAATGGGTATTTATTGTGAGGCCCACGAATGGCCTACAAAAGCCACAGCCCAGAAATATCAGTGCCACAGTGGTGGCCCCTGCCTGGATGGCTCCAAGATGGAAGGAAAGGAGGGGGTTGTTCACAAAATCTTACACTTTTATAGGTTCTGGTTAATTTGCATGAACCCACCCTCCACCTTTCCACGTAGTTTGTGCTCAGGGCCTGAAGTTTGGAGAAACTGTCCTGGAGTTCTTAACTAGAATAGGATTGTTTTGTCTTCATCACCCCAGCACATCAGAAAAGCACATCCAAAGAGAACAGGAAAACTTAAAACTAAAGGCATCAGAGTGATTCCATGACTTCCAAGGCTTTGGATGAGCACTGCACCCCTCAGCACCTTCTCAGGGCGTGTACTCACCACCTGGCTGACGTCATATCCCCAGGGCAGGAAGAGAATCCCTGTGTTATACTTCTCCCAGTGGGAGAGGATGAAGGAAAACAAGACCACCCAGAGCAGGAGGTAGAGGACGAAGACGCTGACGCCGGTGGAGCCCCGGCCGAAGGTGGAGTACACGGTGACCACGAAGTACACGCAGGCCCAGCTGTCCAGGCCGTGGTCAAAGAGCTCTCCCAGGGGGGTGCTGGAGTTGGTCCTGCGTGCCTGCTTCCCATCAACACCATCTGGGAAAAGGGGGAGAAACATGGGAGCTTTCCTGCAACGTTCCACACAAAGCTAGGGTGGATTTGCCCACCTCTGTCCTGGATTGAGGAGTGGGGTTCCTACCCCCTGCTCCATGGGAGGCTGAAAAATGCAACAGTCTGATGAGACTGAGTATTTATTGCTTTGTGTTTCCTCTATATTTCCTTAAAGCAGCCTCTTCCTGTGCTTAAAGGAGGTCCAAGAGAGCTGGAGAGGGACTTGGACAAGAGCCTGGAGGGACAGGACACAGGGAATGGCTTCTCACTGGGAAAGAAGAATTTGAGTGGGATATTGGGAAGGAATTCTTGGCTGTGAGGGTGGACAGGCTCTGGCACAGGTGCCCAGAGAAGCTGTGGCTGCCCCTGGATCCCTGGAAGTGTCCAAGGCCAGGCTGGATGGAGGCTGGAGGAGCCTGGGATAGTGGGAGGTGTCCTTGCCCATAGGAGGGGGTAGAACTCGAGGATTTTGCAGGTTCCTTCCAATCCAAACCATTCTGGGATTCTCTGATTATTTAAATCAGACCCAAGACAGAGTTTCACAGTTCATGTCAAAGTCAGTTCCAGTATCCTCCTTTCCCATCAGATGCTTTGGGACAACTTCCTTGTCTCCACATGGCAAAGCAGCAATTTTTTTTTCTGGAGCAAAGCAGCTCCCAGAAACTGCTCCTGGCAAAAGCACAGAATCCAACACTCCCCATGGGCTCAGGGAGGGGAAAACACAACCACAGCACGAGGGGGTGAGCCTGAAAACTCTTACCTAACGTGTAGGCCATGAAGTTGAGGAGCCCCACCACAATCCACACTCCGTTTGGAACGTGCTGGTGATCAGGAGCTGCAGGGATCAGACAGAGCCGAGTCAGCACAGCTCAGGATGTGCTTGCAGAGGGTTTATTTTGGTTTTATTTTATTCACACAATGAACCTGGGATGTGAGCTTTGCAGGATGTGATGGCAGAGCTGCCCCACAATATCACAGAACCATGTCAGTGAGGACTTTACTTTCAGGATATATTTGTCCTTTGTTCCCAACTCTCCAAAATCATGGGATCTGAGAACTGAGTTCTGTAGTGCCACTGCAGGCACTGCCAGGGAAGTGTGTGCAGAGGACACTCCTCAGCAGAGGAGCATCCAGTGGAGCCTCTTTGATGTGGCAACTCCCTGCCCCCGCAGGAACATGCCAGGATTCCCCGCCCAGTCTCCAGTCCCATCCTGCCAATGGAAACCGAGCTCTTCCCCAAGAGCACCTCCACCTCCTCCAGCAGGGCTCGGGCAGAGAGCCAGCAGAGCTGGCTGCAATCAGGGAGCCCAAAGGGGCACTGAGAAGGGCAGGGAGAGGCACGGATCATCCTTGTGCAGCAGGATCTCCTGGGGGAATGAAGATCCTGTGAAATGCCACCTCCTGTTTCCTCAGGGCAGCAGGATGGTGCCTTTGCAGCAGCGAGGGGAGGGAGGGCGTCACTGCAAAGCCATCCAAAGAGGAGGGAAGGCACAAAATTAACCAGCACCAGGAAAAATTCTGTCTCCAAACAGGATATGTATGTGAAAGGGTTATGAGCTTCTCCATCCTTCCAAAGATAATTTTTTGAGAGGCTGGGAGAGTTGGGGATGCCCAGCCTGGAGAAGGGAAGTGTCCAGGGAGTTCTCAGAGCCCCTTCCAGGGCCTAAAGGGCCTCCAGAAGATCTGGAGAGGGTGGGAGAAAGGGATGGAGGGACAGGACACAGGGCATGGACTGCCAGAGGGCAGGGCTGGATGGGGCTGGGAGCACCCTGGGATTGTGGAAGGTGTCCCTGGCCCTGGCAAGGGGTGGGACTGGATGGGCTTCAAGGTTCCTTCAACCCAAACCATTCTGGGATTCCCTGGTTCTGGATGTCTGACATCCTGGGGGTTTTCACCTTGAGCTACTGACAGCTTTTCTTCTCCTGGCTCATGAACCATCCCAGCCCAAATCCTGGCCAACAGCCACGGATGCCACCTGAGTCTTCAACAGCCTTGACTTATAAAGGCAATCCCAAGAAACCAGGATTTTTGCCATGTGTTTTGATGATGGGTCCAGTTTAGAAGAACTACATAAACCTTCCTGAGCAATCTAAACCACACCTGGCAGGGTCTAAGGGAGAGAAAAACCCAGGGAAGTTGCTGAGAATTATCACACTTCATGAATCCTTTCCCTGGGACTCCTCCATGTGCAAAGGGACACAACTGAACCATTGGATTCACAGACAGATGAACATGGGGGCTGTTAGAAAGTTTAAAGCTGTGAATAGTGAAGCTCAGAAAGCAGATTTGGCCTTGTTAGTCTGATGTGGTGGTGGTTTTGCCAAGAGGGGAACGAGCTGGGGTGTGAAAAACAAGGCTCTACCTGCTGATTTCAGGGAAGCAGCACTTCCTAACATTTTCCTGTCAGATTTTCAAACAAGGGCACTGGGTTGTTTGCTCTGCAGGCAGAGCCAATTCCAACCCAAGATTCTGGATGTTTCCTCCTCCCTCTCCAGCCAGGGGGGAGGTGTCACACCCGGACAAGTCCGTGTCACAAAACCCAGCGAGTTCAATCCCCTCCTCTGTCCCAGTCACTTTGGGAAGGCCCAGACCCAGAGGCCTCACCAAGGAGCACTGGAATTCCCAGCAGAGGAGGTGACAGATTTCCCATCTGACCAGGAACATGCAGCCTTACCAGAAGCATAAAAGTCAGGGTCGAAGTATGCCATGAGGAAGAAGTTGAAGACAAGCAGCAGGAAGCCAGAAAACGTTATCAAATTTGGGGCCAGCCAGGTAGGGAAGATCTATGGGAAAGCAGCAAAAGAACAGGTGAACTCATTAAAACACGGACTGAGGAGCAGGTGCTGCTCCAGGCACCATCCAGGTGTTAGACAACACTGCCAGGAGCAGCCAGAGCATCCCAGGGCAGCAGGAAGCGTGGGGCTGGGATGCAGGAATTCAGGGATTTGGGGCAGGCTGCAGGCAGCCCCTCACTCATTAGTGGCACCACAAATGAAGCAGCTGATGGTGTTACAGAGGTGAGCTGGGGGGACAGGGACTCACCTTCACAACAGCATTCCAGAAGGGATGCATGACATACAGGGACAGGGGGTTGCTGTCCACGGCGCTGTACTGGGAAAGGGAAACAAAACCCAACAGTTAGGGAGGGCTGCAGCAATTCACAGAAAAAGCCACAGATCTGGAAGCTTCTGAGCCCCAGGAGACTCCTGATGTACCCCCCAGCAATCCTCCACCCTTTGGAAAGGCCAATCCAGCTCTCCAAGTGGACATAGGCAAGGAGCAAGATGCTGATCCTTGCAACTGCTTCCAACTGCTCTGCCTCACCTGGATGAGGAGAAATGCTCTGGGTCCTATCCCCCAGCAGTGTCACCTGCTCTGCTGTGACCCCTTTGCTCCCTTGCTGGTCCCAGTCTCATCCCCAGTGCCCAATCTCCATTCCAGCAGTGGGACTGGGAGCCCCTGGAGCAGGATGGGTCTCAGAGGGCCCCTCTCCACTGAGGAGCTGATATTTCACCAGAGGCAGCTTAGGGATTGGGGAGGGAGAGCTCTTAGCCCTCATCCCATCACTTTCACAACATCTGAGGTGCTCAGGGAGTGTTTGTGGTGGGGGAAATAAAAATAGAAATACAGATCTAGAAGGCATGAAACAACTTGAGCAAGAAAGTTAAAATTTGACATCATTTGGCTCTCAAGAGCAGTGTGAGCTGTTATCTGCTCCCACAGCCCCTTCCAAATACAGATTACCCTGGCTAAAGTCCTCTTCCCCCCAGGAAAGTTTGATAAGAATCCCAAGAACAATTCCATAGGCTACCAAACTCCTGGGCTCACATGCTCAGTGCTGGGCTGGGCAGAACCTGCTGCTCACCCACCTGCTTGGGCCAACACCCCCAGCTCCAGCACAGGCATCTGCCCCAGTCCCATCCCAACCACAGAATCCCAGAGGGGTTTGGGTTGGAAGGGACCTTCCAGAAACTCCAGTGCCACCCCCTGCCATGGCAGGGACACCTTCCACTGTCCCAGGGTGCTCCAAGCCCCAATGTCCAGCCTGGCCTGGGCACTGCCAGAGACCCAGGACCTCCCCATCCTTCTAGGGAACAATTCCTGCCCAAGATCCCACCCAAATCTCCTTTTCCAGTTTGATCCACTCCCTGTGTGCTGTCCCTCCAGGCCTTGTCCCCAGTCCCTCTCCAGGCCCTGCCAGGGGCTCTGAGCTCTCCCTGGATCCTTCTCCTCTCCAGGTGAGCACCCCCAGCTCTCCCAGCCTGGCTCCAGAGCAGAGGGGCTCCAGCCCTGCAGCAGCTCCGGGGCCTCCTCTGGACTCATTCCAACATGTACCAAATTTGCTTTGGTTGGTAAAATTAAACCTCTCAAAGCAAAGAGCAGCTCCAGGTGTCCCCCCAGCCCAAGGCCTTAAACCAGCCCCTGTCACTGCTCCCATGGATTGTTCCAACCTGTTCCTCTCCTTGTCTGCATAGCCCACTTTTCCCTGGAAGCAGAGAAGTGGTGGGAAAGGGCAAAGCAACACCCCCCAAGACAGGCACCAGGACCAAGGAGGGGCACCGGGTCCTGCTGGGGTTCCAGCTCACAGCATTTGTTCCCACGTGAGTGAATCCCATCCCTGGCAAGGATTTCTGGACCCCCTGGCAGCCCTTCCCTGCCCTCCCTGTGCAGGGTCAGCCCATCTCCCTGGGATTCAGCCCCAGAGGTTGTGTCCCCACAACAGCAAAGCCACAAGAGCTGCAGAGCAAGAAGCAACAAACCCTGAAGCCCTACAGAGGCAACTCTAAGCCGCAAGGAATTTCCATCTTAGCTTAATGCAATTTTGGGGGGCAGAATTCCAAATGCTTTACAAGATAATAGGATTTGAAGCACCAGTTAGGGGAGGAGGAGAGACTGATTTAATCTCATTATGCCCAAAACAGCCTGGAAGAAGAGAACAGATGCAAGGCTTGGAGTGAAGCAGGGGAAGCTCTCCAGAGCCTCTGTGCCTGTGCTTGGAAGGTATCTCAGGGAAGTTCCATGGCTTGGGAAGTTTTCCTTTCTCCCTGCAAGGACTGGGGACAATATTCAATAAACAGCTTTTCCCCACAGCTACACACGTTCCCACCTTGCTTGCAGAACTCAAAGAGCTGGAAGAGCCATTTCTTGGACAAAGGGCAGCTGCTCTGCAGAAGTTTGCTGATACAACCATGGAATATCCTGAATATTCATGAAAATTCATTGGTTGGAAGGGACCCACAGGGATCATGGAGTCCAACTGCTGTTCCTGCACAGATACCCCAACAATCCCACCCTGTGCATCCCTGGCAGGGTTATCCAAACTCTCCTGGAGCTCTGGGGCTGTGCCCATTCCCTGGGCAGTGCCCAGCACCCTCTGAGGGAAGACTTTTCCTTGAGATCCAGCCTGACCCTCCCTGACACAGCTCCAGCAGTTCCCTCGAGTCCTGTCCCTGTCACAGAGAGCAGAGATCAGAGCTGCCCCTCGGGAGGAAGTTGTGACATCCATGAGCTCTCCTCTCAGCCTCTTCTCCAGCTGAACAAGCCAAGAGCCCTCAGCTGCTCCAGGTGTGGCCCCTCCAGACCCTTCCCCAAGTCTGTGCCCCTCTGGATGCTGTCCCACAGCTTTAGACCCTTCCTATCCCCCCAGCTGCTGCCAGGACACTTGTCTGTGTGCTGAGCAAGGCCAGCGATGCTGTGCCCACTCTGGGGACACCCTGGGGCACAGGGACAGAAGCAGGGCTGGCTCTGGTGCCAGCTTGGCTGCCACCCTTGGGGACAGTGCTCTGGACAGCCAGGACACGGCTGTCTGCCCAGGACAGCTGCTCCCAGAATATCAATGAGCTGCCAGGCATCTTCAGGGACAGATCCCAGGAGTATCCTGGCCATGCCCAGCCTCCTCCAGCTGCTTTTCCTTGTCAGGGTCTTCCTTACAAACATTACTAAAGTTGTTCCTTCCACCTCTTCACTTGTGAAGCCCCAAACCCAGCAGTGTTTGAGCCTGGCACTGGCTCCATTATACCCTCACCTCATCCTCGCTGGAAATTAGTGTCACCTTCTGCATTTTGGATCTCCACACACTGGTCTAAGTGACTCACATCCCTCTCTAAGCCCTCCTGTCATGACCACCAGCCTGGACTCTGGATTTCTGCCCCATTTTCAGGGAAAGAAGGTTAAAGGGAAAGCAGAAGTGCCCAGAAGGAATTTCATACAGCCCAGAAAATTCATACATCTTCCCAAAGCAGGCAGGCATTTGTAAAGGGTCCTGCTCTAAAACAGCTCCATGTTCACAACCACAGCTTCTCCTCAGGGCTGCAAGGAGGAGCCAATCCAGCCCAGACAGCTCCCTTGGGATTGGGGTCAGAACTCCTAAGGGAAAGAGCAAAACCAGCAACAATCTTACCACTGGCACCACACAGGAGCCTCCTGGCCATGCCAGGGTGGCTCCAGGGAGCCACAGGCACCCCAAGAGCTGGGGACAGGCCCCATGGCTGTGGTGTCATTGCAGACGAGCTGGCTGGTGTTGTTATGGGATTTACAGACACAAATGGCTTGTATGGCTTCAACCCAGCATTAATCACACAACCAGGACGCTTCTGGGAGATCCAATTATGTGTCCAAAGAGGAAAAAAAATACAGATTTATAGCCCAGATTCTACTAATGGTCTTCCTGTCCCGGAAAAAAACAATTCTGCTTTGAAGTAATCTGGTTACCCAGAGCCAGCAGCACTGCCAGAGAATCCTGGAGTGTCCTGAGTTGGGAGGGACTCCCAGGGGTCATCACAGCTCCTGGCCCTGCAGAGGACATGCCAAGAATCCCACCGTGTGCCTGGTGTGATTCACACCATCACCACTGTCTGCTGTTGGGTGGGGGACAGCAAACAAAGATGGATTTGCACATCCCATCATGCTCACAGGGGCTCCAGGCAGGATCAGGGCACTCAGCAGAGCAGCTCCAGCAGCTCCACCAGGCTGCTCCCTACAAATCCCCTTAAACACAAAGAAGGCACAAGGCTAAGAACTTTCTCCCCTCAGGCTCAAGATAAGCCAGGAGGCAAAAAACTCAACCAATCCCAGCAAATGGAAGTGAGCAGAGCCGTGCCAGGAAAAACAAGGCACGTTTGCCCTATGCCCACCCTTGGCCAACGTGTGAGGAGTCACCTCACCCTTTAATGGTACTGATTAACTCGAGCCCTGTTTGTCTTTTCCAAGGTCAATTCTCAGCTGGCAGCAGAAGGGAGCAGGTTGGCAGTGGAGAGCTGCCCCCACCACATGAGCCCAGGGGTTTGGTTCCCACCAGGAAGCTGCAGGAAGGATGAGGGTGTCCTGGCTGTCTGCTGCCCCAGCTGCAGCTTCTGTGTGTCCTCTCCTCTTACCTGGGTTGCACTGGGCAGCTTTTAGACACCCAGCAATGAATGATGCTCCAGAACACAGCAAAAAGTCACAGAATCACTGAGGCTGGAAAAGTCCTCTCTGAACATCGAGTCCAGCCATCCCCAGCACTGCCAGGGCCACCACTGCCACATGTCCCCAAGTGCCACATCCACAGGGCTTTAAATCCCTCCAGGGATGGAGACTTCAAACCTCCCTGGGCAGCTGTGCCAGGGCAGGACAGTCCTTTGCAGGCAGGAATTGTTCCCAATGTCCAAGCTGAGCCTGCCCTGGCCCAGCCTGAGGCCATTTGCCCTTGTCCTGTCCCTGTTCCCCCCCTGGCTGTCCCCTGCTGTCAGGGAGTTGTGCAGAGCCACAAGGTCCCCCCTGAGCCTCCTTTTCTCCAGGCTGAGCCCCTTTCCCAGCTCCCTCAGCCTCTCCTGGGGCTCCAGCCCCTGCCGGGCTCTGTTGGCAGGAGCCCAGCACTGAACACTTGTCCCAGAAAGGCCAGAGCCCCGTTCCTCAATAAGGAACTGCCACACTGAGCAGAAGCCTCCCTCCTGCTCCCCAATCCCCACAGCATGTGTTAATTCATTGGGAAAACCACATTCCTACCCTGCCAACACACTCTGATATTCACAGCCTTGGTTCTCAGACAGCAGCTGGGACATTCATGGAATCCCACATTGCTTTGGATTGACCTCAAAGCTCACCCAGTGCCACCCCCTGCCATGGGCAGGGAC